TTTCATTTGACTCCGTACAATGAATCAGATAAAGTTCAGGTATTCTTTACTGTATGACAACATCATATATAAAACTGCAAAAATACTTTCTCTGCAATAACATGGCTTTCATTTTTTAAGGCTTACATTTAACAGGCAAATTGTGATTCTTCTGTTTGAAGAATATTACAAAGGGCTTTTGATTTTATTCTCTCTTAAGGACATTTTTCTCTTAAATTGTATTTTAGAGCTATACAGTGGTAATTTATCATAATACAGATGGTAATAATTTTGTTGGATATTACTGACCACTGCAAGACTTGTGATACTATGTACAGCAAACCTGGAAAGATATTATTACAGACAGCATTGAAAGATTTAACACTGGGGAGAAGTTTGCTACAGAAAGGCAATTTTGTTTCATTTGAAAAGCTATCATGACTAATTGAAGTTTACAACATATATTCCCAATCAAGACTGCAAGGCTGCATGTCTTGCTGAGTACTATCATCATAATGTGTCATAACAACAGCTCCAACTAGGAAGACAGAAGTTTCTTGCTACAAGTTTCCCAGATAATGTAGCTATTCTGGAAGCAATATTTCTCAAATAAATACTCTTTTCTTGTGCTATTTTCCTGACCTGTCACATGATAGACATTATCCTTTAAACTCAGATACATTACAATAGCACAGATGAAACATACTGGAGCAACAACTATACAGTTTGGCAAGACCTAACTTTTGCTTTACAGCTAAATCAATATACCCAAGAGGATATAAAATACCTGACAATTCTTCAGTCACAAACATACAGGCAACTAATAAAATAATACGTGCATCAAACTGCCCAAAATGTAAGTAAATATGTGACAAGGCCACATGTAATACTTGATAACAGTGACATAGAAACAGATGTGCTCAAAAATGTCAGGCTGGCAACATCCCATGTTAAAAAGGGGAGGAAAAATAGAAATTTATTTTTTGAATTTTGATGCTGCATTCACTACATTTATTCATTTAGATCTATGTGCCTTAAGAGAATTATGGAATAAAAAAAAAAAAGGGAGCAGGATGTTACAAGTGCATTGAGTTCTGAGTTTTAAATGTTCCTTCAGAAACCTAAATATCAGCACTGGAATGACTACCTCTGTAGACTTCCCTTTACAAGGTTGAGAATGGGATGCAGAACAAAAACCTGAAATGTCAGGACTCTGTAAACACCTGAATGCCTAACACTGCCTAAAACCCACTTGAACATAAATTTATTTGACAACACCCAATTTATCTGATTAGCTCTGTCTTGGAAAAAAAACAAAAGGTATATGTAAAAACTATTCTATTAAGTAATATTTTGAAGACTTCCTATAATCCTCTGTTGTTTTGGCCTTCATTTTACAAGGCTTTCAACTTCTGAATTACAGCCATTATTTGTCCTTTGCACTACTACAGAATATACCACTGCATGAGGTTTGATAATAATGCTGACCTTTTTGGATTTGCTCCAAACATGCTTAGTAACCAACAAAAATTTAAATATTATTGTAATACACATTTTGCAGGGCATCTAAGAACATAAAATCCCCCAAAACTCCAAAATAACTAACATCAGAGCACCCTGGTGGTTTGCCATGGTATTTCAGCTAAAAAATTAAAATGTGAAATCCGTTCGCTTCATGTAAGTGACATTGATTTATTCATGTAATATAACATTTCACAGTATGTTCCTACTGGTGGAAGCATCTACCAGAAAAAATGAGACATGTACTACTAATTTATTTCAGTAACTTACTAAACACTGCAGTAGTCCTGTGATATTTTATTCTTCCCACAAGTGGAACAGATCATATTATTATACTTGTAGGTTTTTTTTCTCCTGTTTTGTACTTTTTTCTGTTCCTCTACTACTGACTTACAGAATCCCTTTACAATTACCGAAACTTCAGCACATGATGGATTCATCACATCATGAATTAAAGTGTGATATTAAGTCACTTCCAACAATGCATTTCTACAGTATACATCTTGGCACATATCAAGTCAATTCATGTTTTGTGATTTTAAAGGGATGTATTTCATCTCATATATAAGTTCTTCATGGTTTCTGGGGTGCTAAAGAAATGAAAATTAGCAGTATCACTCTCAGCATTCTAGAAATGCTAGAGGACACTAGTTCAAATTTACTGAATATGAAGAAAAACAGTGCATACCTGGAGTCTGTCTTTGATGAAAATTTGAAGTGACTAATTCAGTTAGCATATTGATAATTTTAATTAATCTCTTATTTTGTAGTCATGATGCAATTTCATATATCTTTGCATTAAAATTGTAAATATTTTGTTGCATAATAATACAAGTTTCTCACACTGTGCAATGATTGATAGTCTAACCACTGCAAGCAAAATGTGTTTGCTTGCAGGCACCATATTCCAGCTTCCATCAAGTACATTCAGTTAGCAACATTGCCTATGAAAGAAAGATAATGATATCAAGATTTTGGTTTTGCTTCTACTCCTGCATTTTTATTATCTCCTTGCTCTCTGGTAGATACTGGCTATGCCGATGATTCTGAGAGTGAGTCACATAACCTTTTGAGACATATTAGATCATGACAGAAGAGATTTTGGTATTATAAAAATTTAATTGAACTGTAGACTCAAACATGAAATTTTGGAGCCAGGGACTCAGAACTGTAAGATAGATAGATACAGGACCACAGGGACAGAAAGCTATGTTATTTCCACACACATTTGTGGGTGTTGAACCATCAGATCATTTTTTTTCAGCCAGCTTGTGTGTGAAAAAGTAAAATAAATCAGATTTTCTGGTTGAAACTAGTATGCTTTTTTTTCAAATTACCCAGACATTTATGTGGCAGATTTATTTGGAGAAACTCTCTCTGGCCCCTCTAAGGCAGGTGTGACAGACATGTGATATACACATTTCTAGGTGCTGAGTCTGAACTCACCACCCTAGGGTCCCTTACCAGTCAAAGGAAAGAAAGCAATGTCCTCAGGGAATTAATCTCATCATAATAGAGATATTGAAAATAAATCATATGGATCACTCTTTGGACATTCTGCTTTAAGACATTTAAAGTTAGGTAAGATAAATTCCACCCAAATCTACACAGCCCAAACTTGATACACAGGTAAACGAAATGCATTCAGAAACAATTTAGTTTTTTATAGTCTTGTTTTCATCTGCTTCCTTGTTTATCAAAAGAAGGATGTGAGAAAGAGCACGAAAGTTAACCTTTCCATCAGCTAAATGGTGTTTAAATTAAACAAATTGTTTTTCATAACTTCTAGACAGAAATAAGAAGTTAATCGAAACTAATAATCAGCCAAATTGCTCAAAAGTTCAAATAAAGTCCTATGCTCTCTTTGTTTCTTTGGTACTGGATGCCACAGTAAGGGAGACTGTGAGTAAATGCCTCTCTTAAGGGAAAAACACTAACATCAACAGTATGTATATGTCAATAACCATCTTGTAAAGAAAGAAAATACGGGGACCTCTAATCACATCTAATCATTGTTCTGAGCAGCAGTTGGGTTTTTTCCACTCTGTGTGCCTAATGTTTCTTACATTCACTTATCACATATGCTGTCAAATAACTAATTCTTTCTGGCAACTGACAATTTAAAATAAAGTATGTTACCGGAAAGAGAGTCTCATTGGTCTCCATAAATTCATATGGGCTATGAACAATTAGAGCAGTTTGAAAAATAGATTAATGGATAACTGCCATAAGCCTTAACTCTCACAGAGTACTTTACATGTCTTTGGGATAAAGCAAATATGAAGATTGGCATAATAGTTGTATCATCATGTACTGCCATGAGTAAACAAATACACTGCTTTAGGTAGCAAAAAACGTTAATAGTCTGAAATAAAGATGAAAAGAGAGAAAAACAGCACCCTCAATTGCCAGGAAGCTTACTGAGACAAGAAAGGTTCTCTACAACAACAGAACTGTAAGGATGAATAAATAGCCATAAAGTTGGCTTGTACTGCATGGAAGCTTGCAGATGGTGGATGAATTCATGTCTGTCACGTTTTTATAATACAATGACTTTTACATATTGTTGCCAGATGGAACATAGTTTTGCATCTTGAATATAAATCTCCAAGAAATATAACTTACTTCAATGCTTTCCCTGTATTTGAAACGAAAGCAAATTCAGAGGCAGGTTTGGGAGTCTAAAGCAGATTTAAGGAAATCTGAGAGAATGTAAATTAAATTCTCTAGGGCTTCCTTGTTATAACTCATTTCAAAATAATGGAATTACCCATGTGTTCCATACTTTTTGAGGAAAATCAGGAAAGATATCATACAGGCTTCTACGGGAAAAACTACACGTCATTTATCAAATATAAAACACATCCCAGGCAGTTCCAAAAGACCTTTCAATTGAACTTACTAGTAGTTTGGTAAAACTTTTGTGTAGCATTTATTTTTGCTTCAATAAAAAGAGACACCTATCCAACAAGATCAGATCATAAAAGCACAGTGCATGAATCACAGATGCATTAAACCTTTTCTGGTAATGAACATCTGTGTCTATAACACAGAAGCACCTTGCCATTCTCCTTGTGTTAAACAATACCTAAACAGACCTAATATCTAATTCAGATCTGATTATACCAGTCTTTATATAGATGTGTTTTCTCAAACTATCAAGAAAGTAGAGATTTTTTTTTTTTTTCATATGTGTTTACCCATTACACCTGGCTTTCTCCTGTGTGTCTGGTCTTTGTTTCTAATCCTAGCTGGTATTGCTAAGAAGCAAATAACTGATAGTGATAAAGTGAAATACATGACTTTAGGGAAGAATATTTTCCCATTCAATGGCTTCTCACAAAGTCTGATTAGATGACAAACTTGAGTTGACTTCTCTCAGACAGCCTCAAGCACTGTTTATATGCAGATAATTCTGTGTGTGAACCCATTAGGCTTTTATGACAGTTATGATCAAGTATGATTGGGAAACCTTCTGGCTTACTTGGATCCATACTTACATTGTGCTTTGTGAGGCTGGAAATGTTACTTGCTATTGCTTGTAGCCAGTCAATGCAGTCTTCAGCAGAAAGACACTGAATTATTCCACTGCAAACCCCATCCACAGCAATTACTTGGAATGCATTTTGCCTATAGACATATCATAATAGATTAGGTCAGAATAAAATTTCATCTGTTCTAGCATATCATCTTAACAATGCTGGTAGAAATGCTTTTCTTACAACGGTCAGCCACTGAACACTGATAAATTGCTGTTTTTTCTGTTTATAAATACCTGACATATTAAAATGATCATGTTAAAAGGTCAACTCAGCCTATATTAAGGTTCCATGAAGCTATAAAAAAATTCTATGGACTTGCTCCACAGAACCTTGACGAACAATGCATGACTTCAGAGGACAAACAAGTGAAATAGCCGATATGTACCAAAAAGTCAATACTATAATACTGCTGACCACAGAGAGGGAAAGTACGCATTGCACACTCTAGGCAACCATTTGCAAAATTCAGGAAGTACCAGTACCTTTTTCTCAATAACTTTTGTTTCATTTTTCTAATACGTTGTTTAAATACAGTAAGGTTATATACCGTTGTTGGCTGCTCTTGGTTATAGAGTTTTGTTCCTTTTCTACACTACTGATAGAAGAGCTGTAGAATAAAAAATTAATCAGGTTGCATTAGTGACTTCTACAATCGCATTTCTGAATATAGGATCATTACCAAAATACACTGAAATGCCAAGAGACATTAAATGACAAAAGCAGTTGACACCTGGGTGCTTCTACCCCAGCACCAATCTGGGCATGTATGCAATAATCTGTCATGCCTTATAGACTGACTTTCCACAGCTGAGTGCTGAGCAATTACAGAATGAGAGAAAACTTTCAGACACTAAAGGAGTAGCAGACCTAATTTCTTCAGTAAGTAGCCTTCTTGGCTAACAGCCTTTGGAAGGCTCACAGGTATCTGGCTTCAGAACCAAAAAACTTCCAATATTAATCCATATCCCAGAGTAAGAGATACTAAACATACAGAAAATACTAAATTCTACCTCTGGCACACTGCTACAAACCTACCTGTTAATGATCAATTAATGGTTTAAAATTAAGTACGTAGTTCTGATTCTTTAAGAATGGCTCAAGCAAAGTGAGCATTATCTTCAGGGTAAAATTGAGTGTCACTTATGACAGTTTCTGAAATCTCAAGACAGATACTCATCAGCAAAGCTTGTTGGGTTTTTTCTGCCTTTTGAAATTATATTCTAGTTGTATAAAATGTACAGCTAATAGCTATCTCTACCATAAAGGTCTTTGCTGCATCCATGTCAAGTACAGGCTTACCTTTTGGTCAGGAGAAACATTAAAAATGAACCAGACCCACCCCATTGCTTTAAGATTTTCATCATGAGAACTAGCTCTTACAGGAGGATTAGACTTACATACCCTAACACAACCATGCAGAGACCAGTGGTTTATCTAAATCCGTCAGCTAACTTTTCAGTTTAGTTGCCTTTTTGCATGAGTAGTGACTTCTCATTAAATTCCCAAAGGTACAAACTGAGAGCTACTTCTTTCAATGTCTCATGTGCAAATGAGTCATTGAAAGAAGTAGCTGTCAGTGGTCACGTAATTGACATGGACATGTACTTATGTCAGATAAAGTTTTTGAGAAAGGTTTAATTAAAGTATCTTCAGATAACATAGCTAGCATTTCTTTGCTATGTCCTTATTTTAAATGGCTATAAATATAAATGGTAAATTCTTCAAGAATAAAATTCTAAGTCCTTACATGAAGAACATAGCATGATGTTCAAATTTGTTGACTAACTTACAACATTAATTTCAGAACTCCCCTTCTTTCTACTCAGTCTATTGTAAACCAAAGTAGGAATCCAAGTAATCTATTAATGTGTGATGCTAACTTGCACAAGCAAAGAAACCCTGTTCCAGATTCAGTCCTGATGAACAAATTTCCTTCACACTACACACATTGAATCTGATGCATTCAGGCCATCAGACTGTTCCTACTGTTCCCTAAGTATTTGATGTATGCACATAAAAAAAACCAACATTCATCCAGAGTGTTCTTGCCCAAGTATCAATAAGCACAGACAAACTCTGAAATATAAAAAGTTATTAGGCTTTTTATAGTGAGAACAGCTTTGTAAATAGTAAGTACAGAAAATTTAATGAATTAGCTTCCATTTCATGTTGCTTTCTAATTTTCAATATCCTGTCATTAATGTTGTTCTATATAGCAGTCTCTTTTAAAAATTATCTACCTTTCTCTCATAACACATTTTGAGACAGATTAACAATTTAAAATATTCCAGTAATTTAAAACACTCTTATTAACTTCTTGATAGCAACCTAAAATGTTTGGTTTATGCTTTTTTTAAGGAAACCCCACTCCCTCTCCTATATTCATACTATTTTTTTTTCTTTAAGTACTCTTAACTTCCTCCTGTTAGACAGCATAGGAGGACACAAGGAGAAAAATTATCAGAGTAGTTATTCAAGGTTTAAGTGTCATTTAGGTATTTTGTTTTGTATGAATATACTTTCAAATTTATTTTCTGGAAATCCAAATCTCAGGAATATCATTATTACCTAAAATCTGTCTCTGTAAAATACAAATTTTATAATGTGCACTTTAAGCTCATATTTTATTGATGCAGAAGTCTGAATTTTAGAACCCTAGCACTATGACAGTTGAGTATGCTCTATTTCTATGTCAGTAGCTCTATTCAATTCAGTATCTTATCTGAAGTGTACAGCAGAACGGATCTGATTTGACTGTCACAATTTTGAGCCACTTATGCTTCATGCGCTTAATTATTTCTATTTCAACCACTGTTAAACATTGAGCTAAAGGTTTTCACAGAATTTAATAAAAAACCTCCTGCATCCATGGTGAATACAACCTGTTCCCTTTCAGTTCAACAAACACACTGTTGTAGCCTTTGGTTTACACCTCCCCGAGCTCGCCACTGTTATTAATGAGAAAAAGGATCATGGCGCCAAGTACATACGATTTTGCTATTACTACTCAAAAGCTGCAGGCTGTTTTAAGCTTCAGAATTATCTACTGGTAAAACAACTGTTCCCTAACCTACTTTAATTTCAGCTCTGTGAATAGGAAAATGCTGTCAGACCTAGGCAGATCTAAGCAACAACAGCCCTTAGAATCAACTGAGGCTATGGGAAGGTTTTGTCCAACTTTCAAATGTTTGTGAGAATGAATAAGAAGGAAGCACGCTGTGATAAGAAAAGGTAAAATTAAAGCTATGCAAACCCCAGACTGAGGTTGAAGAACACTCCTCTTCCACCAGTTTCAGGGGTGGGGTTCATTAACCAACCCCCTGGGGTAGATGGTAACTGTAGGACCCACAGGAACACATGGAAGGGTGAGCATAGAAACAGAGAAAAGATATCAGGAAGGCTCTTCCATGAAACAGTCTTTCCAGAAATAGTAACAAAGTTTTTCTGTATTAATTTGATAATTTTTCATGTGCTATCCTGGAAGAACAGGAAATTTTAAACTGCTAGTCCCTGATGTGCCACTAGGGTATAGCATAACACACTATTCTTCACAGATTCACACATCGAAGCTGGAAGACATGAAGGCTACATGGGAAAGCCAGAGTTTATTTCAATTAGCAAGGGTTCACAACGTTACAAGTAAGTCCTTTGTGCTCATTTTAGGAGTTAATGTTTCTGATTAGTTAGAAGTAGTAGTAATAGAGACACATGCTCTATAACTGTATACAGCTGTCCTCCAGTTAATGACTTACATGCTGTAACTCATAGAATTTGTTTGTATTACAACTTCATTCTTATATATACATAAAATACCTAGGTATTTAAAACTTCTAACCAGTTTAACCACTATGTGCACTGAAACACTACTTCCTGGAAGTGGCGGGACATTGCCTGCTGATGGGAAGTAAATGATAAATCTTTTGTTTGCTTCTGTGTGCAGCTTTTGCTTTATTAAACTGTCTTTATCTTGACCCAAGGTTTTTTTCAGTCACCCTTCTTCCCCTGTGTCCTGCTGAGTTGGGGAGTGATAAAGCAGCTTGTAGGGCACCTGGCATCCATCAGAGCGATGCCGTATTTGTGAACCTGACTATATGCTTTGCACAGCTTTCCCAGTGATTGGGAGACAAAATGGCAATGAAATTAGATGTTAACAAATTTCAAGTAAGACATATGGGAAAAAATAACCTCAACTATATGTAAGTAACAAAGGACTCTACTGTAGCTGTAAACATTGATGAAAGAAATGCAACGGTTACAACAAACATTTCTCTGAAAAACACCACCTTAGTGCTCAGTTACAGTCAAAAGGTAATAGACTATTACAAGTATTAGATAAGAACAGAGAAAAATTATGCAAAACAGCATTATGTCTTAATATAAACCAGGACAGACCCTCCTTGCAGTCCTGATCACTTTGTCAGATAGAAAATATATTAGAATTATGAAAGAAACACAGAGAATAAGAAGGATATTCAGAGCTATAAAAGGGTTTCCCTAGAAGTAAATAATAACAGCGATCCTTCAGATTTTAGAAACAGAAGACAATAATCTGAATTTATGAGAACATAAATCAAGAATGATTATTTAGCATTTCCATTGATACAAGAGTCAGGGCCCAGAGTCCACCCTCCTCTCCCTCCTGGGGGAGCAGGAGCTTGTGCTTGAGGCTAATTCTGCTATGATGTGGCTGTGAGATGTGGCATCAGGCTGCTGTGGACCAGCTTGAGTAGGGGGCCCTACTCACCTGGGAGCTGCTTATCAGCTCAGGTTTTTGCCTTTGGTCCTTGCCTGAGTTCGGTTTCATCTATGCCTGTGCCTGGTCATATATCCCACTGATTCAGATCTGACGTGTAGGCTGAATTTCCAGCCTGACCTGGGCCCTACTTTGCCGTGATGGACTCATCTGAAGACCACCCCTAGGCTTGCTCTGCTCCTCCACTCAGGGAAGTGGGACAGGGTCCTTGTCTGTATGGACACTTCCTTGTCCAGCCTTGTCAGCTCTTGGCTCACCTTCCCCATGGGGCAGCCAGCCCCTGCTGCTCCCAAACAACAGGATTATTTCACCCAATGAAGTTATCAGGCAAAATACTTAAACAGAAGGAAGTAAATTTTAAAAATACATTGCAGAGCTCAGTGAGAAAAAAATGAGCCTGAAAAAACTGAGCTCAGTGCATTGCAAAACTAAAGGTATTAAAAAACAACAGGTAGGAAAGAAGCTTTCCAGAACAGGAGCATTAGCAGTTATTAAATATGACGGTCTATGTGTGCAATCTCAAACTGAGAAATGGCCTGACAACTAGGTGCAAGTGGGAAGATCACATCTCCTCCCCTCCTTCTGGTTGATGTCAAAGCAGAATATGGGTGAAAGTGTACCTAAACAGACCTTTATGAAAGAAAGCTCCAATATTTCATGTCTCTGACAGCTGTGATAGAATTAATAATGCCATTCCTCTAACAAGGCAACTCCCTATAGCTTTTATATGTCAACCAAGAAGTCAAGTCGTTTCAACTTTCTGGACTTCTTTACCTGCACAAATCTGATCCTGGAAGGTACTGGGAAAATCGTGAATGAAGAAGTGGAATTAATCGGAGATCACACCACCTTTTTTCCCACCTAAGTCCTGGGGATGCTGGCCATGAAGAACATGATAATGTATCCTGAAAAAAATTAAAAGGTCCTTATCAGTTTTGGGCTTCAATGTAAGTACTCAGCAGATTTGGAAAGAGAGGGATAGACTTCAGAGACTTTATATATCATTTGGCAGTGTTCCGCTTTCCCCAGACCATTTGGCATCAGTTTTAGCTAGTACTGGAGACATTCTGAACTTCCCACAAATAAAATAAATCTGTATAAACCTCAACATCAATATGCTTAGAGGAAGTATGAGGAACAGTATTCTAAAACCCTAGAGAAAACAGACTGTGTCCTCTTTTTTAAACGGCTAGTTATGAATAAAAGTGAATATTTACTATGTATCTCATCATCAGCTACTAGCCTTATATCTGTGCCCTGAATAAAGGTGATCTCTAAATTATTTACTACACAACCATAACTCAGGTGTTCCCCGTGGCCCTGTAGACATTTACATACCTGTCTATTTTAACAAATCACCTCAAAACCTGGTAATTGTGCGTGGGATTTAACATGTAATGAAAAATGTTTAGTCAAAACTACATGCTTTACCTATTTACACAAGATATTACATATATTTTCACCTATCATAAAGACAAATGCACAGCAAAATCCCCTTAAGAACTATATAAAATGATGGAAATGATGGAAAAAGAAAATTGTTTAAAGCCCCTCATTGCACTCCAAAGGCATCTTTTAATAAAAATCTGATCAGACATCTGTAGCATTTCATCCTAGAGAGACTTTCCTCTATAATGCCATCATTCTTTGGCAAGATTTTAAGTGTAAATTACTAGAAACAAAATACTCTGAACTTAAAAATCAGCAAAACCATGCACCTCATATAGAAAACTATCCTGAAAAAAACTTTCTGCCTTTCTTTAAATAGATATATTTTCATTTTTATAATTTTAATTCCTATGCCATGGAAATAATCTAGAAGAGAAAAACTTCTGCAAAATCCCTACTGCCCAGATAAAAGTAGTAATCATATCTATCAAGGCACAATCTCAGCTGATATGATTTGTCATAGTTTAATTCTCAGCCATAACGTCTGGCAACTTCTTTCACCCTCTGTGGAACTGTCTATCTCGAATGTTAACTAGAGCTTGTCTCATGTTGCTGTCCTTTATTAGGTACTTCCACTTAGGTATTATAGTATAATTAATTTCCTATTTAATTCCACAAAAAAAAATAACAATGCTCTTACCGTGTTGGTGGGGTGGTAGTTGAGATGCAAACCACTGTCACATAGGGGAGAGGATGTGCCACTGCTTTGGTCGCTGGGGGCACCTAATCCAAATATGAAATGACAAAAAATTCTTAATTAATTTATAATGCTAAAATTCAAATTTGTGTATGTCAGTATGTGTGTATATACGCTCCCCCCATTAGATTTGTCATATCTAACATTCATGTACTTTCTCCATTCAGCCAGTATCAGCCCTCTGTTTTGCATGGGTAGCTTTCATCAGCTAAGTAGAGAAGCTCAAGAAAACCTCTCCTGGTGCATTGCTTAATAGAGTTCATAGTCTGTTTAGCAAGAAAAAAAAGCCCAGCGGTTTTTGCAAATTTGATAATAAAAGGGAAGTGTGTACCCCCTTGCTCAGTTTTCACTTGAAGGAACTAGTCATGACAATGCTTTTGCTAGTCTTGATGATGTTTACACTTCTAACTCTCTTTGTAACGTTTTAGGAAACTATATGCTAAAGCCCCAAAATAACATGATAGGATTGATGTAAATGCATGTTCCTGTGCATTACTCCGGGTACTCTGTGGTATCACTACCTTTCATAAAAGGAACAAATGTACTGCTATGTAAGATTATGGTGTTCTAAATTTTTTCTTGTCCCACTAAATTTTAATACACAGGCAAAAAATAAAGACAGTATTTCAACAAATGATTGTATAAAATATTATTTCATAATTGACTATTTAATTACTACTAAAAAGGTTGAAATTATTGAAACAAAATATTTGTTGTTTTACTACTTAAAAATCAAGCAATTCATTTTACTCTCTTTGGAGCAAGAAGCAGAAGGAAAACAGTGACAAAAGGCACAGGTTGACATATAAATATGCTTGGATATGCTGCAATTGTCTATAATTATGCACCCACACTTACAATTTAATATAATTAAAGGAAGACAGCTGTCTCCATATGTCTCTCATGGGGCTAGTTGACTAAAACTAAGTTGGACTTAAACAAAATACTTATCATCCCGGAGTAATTTATTCTTAGGTAGACAGACACCTCTACCAAAGCCTCTGAATTTTAAATGGGAAAGTCAAGCCATCTAAACATACACACACAATCTCACTGTCACATTTACAAGACATAATTCCTTTAGACTAAAATGTCTCTGTATCATACTGTAAACTAATGTAATTTCACTGTTTTACCTGCAACTTTGCTGATTCACACCAGTCAAATGCCTTGTGATTTGTTTTTCAAACAAAGATAGCAATTTTTTGCTTGAGGTGAATGTTACTACAAGACCTGGCAATACGAGCAGCTCATACTCAGGCAGTAGTGATGACCAAAAAAGCTTCTGTAAATCACCCTCAATGCACTTGCACTTGCAAGCTGCAAGCATTCATGAACACTGAATTGAGTTGTCATTTGGCTAATTAATAAAGGCTTACATGCACAATCTTCATTCAGTGGCAGTTTGAGAAAAGCAGGTGCTCTTTTCAGAAAGGACACAGTTAAGGTCACTTCCTCTCCTGCATTGCGAAGGACCTGAACCTGGAAGAGAAATACAAATAGGGCACCATGGAATATGTATGACCAAAATGCATCAGCAAATGCAAGCAATGCCACATAGCTTTCACATACCAGAACATAACTGCTTAGCCATTTATTGCAATGAGTTCTTTTTAAAAAGAGCAAGATATAAAGTTTGCTATATACTTGTCAATTGAGCTTCTAGACACGCATGCAGGTAGTGGAGCAGTGGGGGGCCACTTGCCTCCTACAGTAGCACTGGCTTTTGCACTATTGCTCAACTTGCTCCCTGAAACTGTTCAGCTGCCCACCTCCTTCTTCTTTCAGATCTAGCATCAGCCACAATAGCTTGTATGTATAAAAAAAAAAAAAATTAAAACCACACCACCCCTCCCCCCAGATTGTCTCATAAGTCCCCAACCAAAACAATAGCAGTAGTTTCCACAGTTGTGCCATAATCTTCTGATTAAGTCTTTCCAACAGCCAGAGTTAAATTTAGTTGAAGTGCTCTAGCATAGATCAGAAACCTAATCTTCCTTACAGCCACAGAGGAAAAGTACCTCTTTTAAGCCTTAAGTCTTAGATAAGCACAAGCTTGGGTTTTGCCAAAGGGCAGCTTGCATTCTGGACACAGGAATGCATAAATCACCTATGCACCTGTGTCTGCTTTTAGCCTTCCTGTACTCTCCCCAATTGCTCCTGCAGCTCTTGTTCATGCCTTTAGCTTTCGTGTGCTACAGCTGATAGATCACTCAAGACATATGGCAGAGAAAGGGAAGACCAAGTGCTTCTCCAGAGTGGCACAAAGGAGGCACAACAGCAACTAAGCAAAAATGCTATACTTACAGTGAAGGAATAGTATTTGAATCAGTTTATAACATGTGAGCCAAGAAGCATCACGTCACACAACTGATTCACAGAACAACAATTTCCTGTTCTGGCTCTAAAACTTCAAAACTCTTCAAGGGCTGATTTAACTTGGGCTTACAAAGACAGAACCATATCTCTATCTGTGTGACTGTGCTCATACTGTGCACAGAGTCAGCTACACAGTGACAGATTAATGTTTTAAAGTAGCATAGATCTGCTCCCTTTCTACAGTGTTTTCATAGTAGCTGGGTAACACAGGTAACCATTCTGTGATGATGCTGCTTGTGAGAAAGCTTTGCAAATAATTTATGGAGGATTGCTATTCTTTAATCTATTCCTAGAAACAACCTATCCTACAGATTTAGTTATAAATGTATATAACTATACATTAGGTATACATTTATGCATATAGCTAAATGGTTTGATGCTTACACATGGAATTACTGCATTACATTAAGTTAACTTAAATAAATTCTTCAAGAAGAAATGTCAACTTTGCCTTTAAACATGCAAGCACAATACCTCCTCCTCCACACTGGTTGCTACAGAGGAGTAACAATATGATGACAGAATGTTGGATCCAGTATCCGAAATACACTCTAAGATTTTAGGCTTTCTATTGTTTAAAAAAGCATAGTGGTTGTCATGGCACAATTTGCAATGTAGTGTGTATTTATACGTATGTGTGCAAATAAACAAACATACAGGAAAAAAAAAAATCATTAACTTAAACTATATGCCAAAAACTTAATCTCTAACAAGAGCCTCTTTGATGAGCACTTCCCCGTTCTGATGCGTTTTATACTTTAGAATTCCTAAGTGTACATATTTCATAGAAAAAAGATGACTTGAAATCTGCAGAACAGTAGATCAAGACTGCAAAGTCCTGAATTCCATCAGAGAAACCCTATTGTATTCTCAGCCTTCATCCTTCTCCTCTCTATGTAGCAGTCACACAGCTCAGAGCAGTCTTAGCCAAAGCAAGCAAGAAACTTACAGGCATGTGTTCTCTATTGAAAGGACAAATGTGGATAGACAAACTGCAGGAACACTATAACTACCCCTAACTTTTAAAAATTATTTCTTTTCACTCAGGAATGGGGAAGAAATAAGTGGAAACATTACAGCATCTACAACTTTAATTTGTGAAGTCACCTTTTAAGATACCTCAGAAGTGGATATCATCTGTGAAAGAAGCTGAGACAGTAAACTCTGCCCCTGAATCTTTCATCTTCCAAGAGTAAAATAAGCCACAAACATGTATGATTTCATTTGACAACATATTGTTCTGTAAAGGCTAGAAGTTGCCATAAGTAGTCTAATGTGACCTTTTTTCTCACATACCTCTCTCTCACACCTTTTTATTTTATAGGATGAAGAATTTAATTTGGTACACATTTTAGTTGTTATTAGCAATACTTATTTCACTGAAGTGCATTTTCAAATGTATGAACTATATAGACCACTTTGACATGCAGAATAAAGACTAAAGAGATATAAAAGATTAAAAAAGAAAACTACTAGGTAATAATTACAACAAAGAGGAGGTGAGCTATCAATTCCATTTCACTTACTTCCTAGTCATTGACAAAGACATTCTGTGAAATAAGGCTAGCTGAAGAAAATGGGATTGTTAATGAAATTTATTGTCTTTTTGTAGCTTTCAGTTAAAAGCTTTACTCTTATTTTCTATTTCTTGTTTTTATTTTATGTAAGAAATTAATAATTACTGAACTGCTTTAAATCAAATATCCCTTTTAGGAATCATGTACTTTGTGTACTTATGTGTACACCATGCCATACCGCCATTCCTCCATGCAGAAAGAGAACAAGATACCATAGGAAATCTACTTTTAGTGAGGGATATTTTTAGTGGTATGCCAGAACAGCTCTTGTTCATAAATGGAATACTGCTATCTTTTACAAAAAAATATAACAGCCCAAGGTAATGTGACAAATTGTTATGGAGGGCTATGTCTATGAGAAAAAAAAACAAAAACAACCCCAAACCACTTGAAAACATAGAGTCAAACAATTTGTATGGAATACAGTATGAATTTCTAGAGTTTTACAAACATGAGTGGAATTCTACCAATATTCAGATTACTGGCACATGAATTATTTTTTCTCTTTTCCTTATTGCCTAACATCAGTTTAACTCAACTTTATAAAGCAATTTTAGTAAAAAGACAACTGTGTGAAAGTAAATGTTTCCTCAGGCTTGGAAAATGTACATTCATGAAAAACTAGTTCATCTGCACAAGTATATCCATGCAGTCCTGAAAATCAGTAGCATATTCCACTAACAAAGTAGTAATGAGCTTTTACAACTGAAGGTAACCCATGAAGATACTGAAGAAACCCAAGGTAAATCATTATATAGTATTTTAGATAAAGAAATGGATAGGTATCTACTCAGCCATCCTGCTCTCTTACTTGGAAAAGAGCTCCCTCATTTATTGTATATGCATTGCCAATGCCTTGTCAATCAAGCACTATCATTGACAACATATGTGTTTGTTATTCCTGGCAGTGATAATTCTAGAAATATTTCAAAGACAAGATGGAAATAGAGTACCTAAATCCTTTATACATATTTTTCAGAGTTACAGCATGTTTTCTGACTTATAAGAAAAACTCAGAGCTAGGCCAAACAGCGTAACTAACTCCAGATCTTTTCTTTTTTTTTTTTTTGCCAGCACCATCATATATTGTATGCATGATAAAAATGACGTAAGACTAAAAAGCTAGGGACTATTTTCTACTTCCTGTAAAAATGAGGCTCTCTTAAAAATCGTAATTTAGAAAACTCTCAAGTTTCTTCTCATTTTGTAATGTCTACTTCCATCTTTTAATATAATTATGTTGAATTCCTAATATGTTAGTCCACAAATTAGAAAAAAACATGGGTTTTAGTTTAGGGTTTTTTTCTCCCCATTCAGGGATAAGGTGCATTTTAAAGAGCAAAATAGAGTACTGTGGAGATCTTGATTCACTGAAGGTTGAACAGTAGTATTAAAGTGGCACTGCATTTTTTTCAGTAGTTAAAAGCAACAACAGGTCACTGGAAAAAGGGGACTAATATTATTTCAACCCCAGTTTTTTATTCTAAAGAACCGTATGGACCTTCCAAAAAGGAATTTTACTGGGGATTCTGCATACAATTGCTGATTGACCAATGATTTCCATAAAGATCCTATCCCTTGCAGAAAATATTCCAGCATTGGGTAGAATACAAATAACATTTTTCATAATTAAAGTTAGCTATATTTGATGAGTGACTAATCCACAATTAATTGCTTTTTTTAAAAATACATTCCCCACTGTGTATTAAATGGTAAAAAAGTTCAGTACAAATGAAATGTAGCTAAATAAGTAAGAGATCTTACATTCATTACTGGTAATAGAGAAGGCAGTTCTAAATTTACATCAAATAAAAATATTTAAAAGATCTCCCATCATATATGAAGAATTTGGTGAAGATGAGATAGTGCTGAATCCACGGAATATCTGCCTGGAAAAAAATTAACTCAATGGTGGACCTAACACTTCCAAAGTCTAACAAGATTATATCTCCCCACCATAAGCCATGGAAAAACTCCCTTTGGAAGAGATCTGTATGTCTATGCACTTGACCTGAAAATTTCTAAAGCACTGCATCCCAGATTGAAGAAAATGCATGACCACGCAACATTAAGAAGATTTGTTTTTTTTCTGTACCACTGAAAAGTAATAATCCATTTTATTCCCAGAGGCTGCACTGACCATTCATGATGCATGGGGTTTATTTCCTATGAAGCCCTAGATTTTTAATGTTTTCAAGATCTTTTACAAAACATTAGGTTTCAGGCAATGAATTCAACTTCCTATATCAGGGTTTTATTTTAGTAGTTAGTAATAAATAGTAGTTAACTTTAGTAGCTGTAGTTAGCAATGTGTTGATGCAGATGTTGTATGCACTAAATAATAAAAAGCTATTCAGTATTGCTGTTACTACTTGATTTAGATTTATTTTTTAATTTCATTTAGTGAGCAATACTAGCTATTGATTTGTTGGTGCTCAGTGTCTACTGAAGTCATCCCTGAAGCAGAAAGAAGCTGTGACACTGAAGTCTTAACATCCCATCAACATTATTGCTCTATATTAAATC